CCGCGGTCACACGTGGCTCCAACGGGCCTCCAGGGTAACGTGACAGATTGTTTACTTGGTCACAGAAATAAGAGGAGCACAAGAGTGGGAATGAGAATGTGTATACAGGGTTCACACGGGGGAGATGTGGTGACCGGATGTGCTGGATTTTAATCTCATTCTCTCATATATTCTCTCTCACTTCATAAAAGTATCATATAACTATAATTGAATAAAATGTATTTAAAAAAGTAGGATTTAATATTTTAATGGGAATATAATATAATATATAGATATAATATAATAATAGAATAGAATAGAATAGAATAGAATATAAAAACAAAACCAAACCAAACTAAACTAAACAAAGCTATTAAAAAAAATTAAGCTAGAATAAGTACTGAAATCTTTATATATATATATATATATATATATATATATATATATATAGCTAATGACAAAAGTATATACAAAAATCTATATTCAGAATCTAACAACTATTTCAAAAGATTAATGAATACTTTAAGTATGTGAAATAATGCTGATCATGTTACTATTATATGTTATATTATTATACAGTATAGATTATACATTATATATTACTACTATATATATTATACTACATATACTACAATTTTATATAATAATGCTGCAAAAAAGCAGACAAAAATACTATGTTTACTCAAGACATTACCATTTTGTAATGTGGAACAGAGCAGAAATATCCAGACCCGACAGAGATGAAGACTAAGTTTCTTGCTCCTGGTCCAAGAAGCGTTAAACCACATTCTGGAGGTTAAGCATCTTGGCTGCAAGAGCTTGTCATTTCTAAAGATGAAGCTCATCCTTTATTCAGCTTCACAGCGCATACACAGGTGTCATGCTAAACTAATGTGCCCTAAGCTATCGCTTCCAGTAAAACATTACTCATCCCAATCTGCAGGAGCGTTTGTTGGCAAGCGACAAGTGCATCGATGGTTACCTTCTAACCTTTCCTGTAGATAACACACCTGCCTAATGATATCCATCATGATATAGACGCTGTAAAATCAATGATAAAAAAAACGTAGGCATTTAATTGCAATTTCAGCATATGGTGCCAAAAAACAAATATTGATGTGATACTGTTAAAATGGCTCTTAAACTAGCTAAATTAAACATATGTATGCATATTTCTAGAAGGTTGTGGAATGCACTTCTATAACTGTTAGGAAGACCCCAACATGAAGTAGTATTAATAAAAATTATTATTATTATTATTATTATTATTATTATTATTATTATTATATAATAACTATTATTATTTTCTTCTTATTATTATTATTATTATTATATTATTGTTGTTGCTGATGTTGTTAATAACAACAATGATAATAATAATATTAATAATACTATTATTAATAATAATAATAATAATAATAATAATAATAATAATAGTAGTAATAATAATAATAATTATAACGTGTCATTGTTATTATTATTATTATTATTTTAATATTTTTCTCATTACTACTACTACTACTTCATTATTATTATTACTTTTAGGTTTTAATTGTAATCCAGAAAAGTTGTTCTCATAGTTGCTCATCTTGCGCTGGAACTACACCCATTTCAACTATGCTTTCAAAAACAACGAGGGGGAAAATAAGCGAGGGTCCTCATTCTAACATTTCAGCACTGGATTCCTCCTGTCTAGAAATATGTTCACGGGTCCCTATCGCTTGAGATAATCAAGGGGAATTTGTCTGCGCAGCACATGTTCAGATCTCTCTCTGCCTCAGGGCCTGTCTGTAGGCTCTCAAGAACAAGCATTAACTCAAGAGCTCAACCAATTCCCATCTTTTGTTGCACATGTTTATTTTTTTAGCATTTTTATATTACTTTCCATTCATGTCACAAATCCACCTGCAATACTGCAACACCCCTCAAGAGGAGCTGTTCCTTTTTTGGGAAATGTGTGCTTTGTCTTTTCTAAGTGACATATTTTCCAATGAGTTTAGCACTAATCTACCAGGGAAGTGGTCTGGAACCTCTGCTATAGATCAGCCACTGACACAGTCCATAAAAATCTGGGAATTCTTATAATTTCACTGCATACGCCTAACAGTAAATTCAAGCATAGGCTCAAGCACTCGAGCATAGCGGCTAGCCAAACTCACTGGACAGACATCAGTCAATCAAAACGGGCAGCAGGGTTTTCTCCGAAGGTCTACAATAATCTGTAGCAGCTGTCTAAACACGTCCCACCAAACCGGACCTGCCTTTGAGTAAAACCAGAGCCGCTTTCACGTCAATATGTGAATTATTGAATAAATAAATAGAGAAGGGAAGACAAATTCATGTGTAAGAGAGCGTACTGTAAAAGAGCCACTGCTTTGGAAAAGAAACACAAAACGAAGGATACACAATCTCTTTCCTGGCTTCACCTGCTGATGTTCTAACAAATGAGGAATTTAGGAGTAAATGCATAGCATCTCAAACCCCCTAGACTCATTCATGACCTTCTACATGCAGCAGTGAAGGTTTGTTTATGCGATAAGATAACACAGAGTAAGCAGAATAGCTAATTAGCATTTAATTCCAGTCACTCATAAGCAGCTGCGCGCATATATCGTAGCCAGAAGTGGATTCATGCAACCATAACCACGCATTTCCATCCTTGTAATGATGACAACGCCGAAACCCCTCCATCCTCACGGTGAGATTAAAGTGGTTCATCAAGTGCTGAAGTTAGCGATTTGTCCCGCAAAGACAGACTCATCATGGCTAATTGTGAGAGATCCTCTCAGGGGCCGCTGTTGGCCTGGATGAAGGAGCTGATTGGTCTGTTGTGCTCACGGCCCCTCTGGTTGTGACCACCATGGATTAAAGCAGATCCATAACTCATGCGCACCAGATGGTGGAGATGGGGTCAGCAGCTGGAACAGCACACCCTCAGACTTTACGTCTTCCCAGTCCAAAGCTGCTGGTCTTTGGCCAGCTTCATTAAAGCCTGAGGTTGTCTAGTAATTCGCAGAGCTGAGAAACAATCTGAATATAGTTGCAATATGGAAAATTTGAGCCCTTATGCATTCCAGCTGTGAGACATACAGCATGTGCAGTTCTTTGAAAGCTAGCGAGTAAACCAATGCCTTTGTTATGATTTAGTAAGAATAAAAAAAATAAATGAATCAATTTTATTACATGGTTTTCTGGGAACTGTCTTGGCAGTTAGTTATAATAATTGACATTGACGATTTGCTATGCATTAAGAAGTTTATCAAACTCTGTGAGAGCCCTCAAAATAAAGCAATGCAACTGCTACAGTTTTGATCCAAATTATTAAAGAAAATGTTCCGCAGTGATAGCGAGGACAGCACTGTCATTAGCATTGTGGTGATAATTAACTGATTTTAATTAAAACATGCTGCCAATGAAACCAGGACAGGAAAGATAACATCTCAGGATATTATCATTGCACTGGCACTGTTTTTAAAGGAGAAAAATCTACTATAAAACAGAGGTTGTGTGTTCAGAATTGTTTAACGTGTGTGTGTTGTACATGACTTATTTCTTAATGATGCCGCATGTATTTTATTCATAATTGAGATGGTTGATTTTTATTCATTTATTTATTATCGTTCTTTTTAAATGTGGTTGGTTGGTTTATGTATATGTTATGTATATGTATGTCTATATTGTTCCCTGTAACTGTCCGCTATTTTTTATTAGATTAGAAGGATATTTTTTGTAAAAGTAGGATAAACAGAGCTGCTTGAATGCTGGTAAAGTATACAAGGATGTTTGAATATTTGAATATTTATTATTATTATTTTGCCTTTTCTCAGCAATCAAAATGTTATTTACAAACCCTTGCACTTCATCTCTTTTTGGTTTTACAGTAAAGCTGACTAAATATTTAAGTCACACTTGAAATAAAAAATTAAAAAAAGAATCTTTCTTCTGTATTTTGATGTACAATCACTGGACAATTTTTATGTACAGGTTACTAGTACTAAACTGGGCACCATTGTGCCTTCAGAACTGCCTAAAATCACAGTAGAGTTTGAGCATGCAAAATTTCTGCGATGCTGCAAAAAGCAATCTGATTTAAAAAAAAAAAAAAAGGTTAGATAATAACAATTGTTCCATATTTTACATTTCTGTAGAGAGAGGTCATGATCTACTATTGGTCTCACAAAATCACTTGATGCAATTTCACAGGTCAGAATTTACCAAGCTTGAACTTTCAAATGCAGTGCCATGCAAAACTTGTCGCACGAGCCTGCGTTTCCAGTCTGCTGCATTTGTATGCATATGAATAGAAGTTTATTGGGCTAAAAGTGCAGTGTGACTGCGGCTTTAATACTTGGTGGCATAATTGACTATCAACAAATAATGCCATGCTCATAATCATTAAAATTCCCATTCCTTTACTATGATGGGGATTGGTTTAAACTTCATTCAGTTGCTGCTATGTGATTGGCTGATTAGATATTTGATTTAATGAGGATGGGGATCTGGTTTAATTGATTGGTTGGTTGTTGATTAAATTTGTTACTACTGACTGGCTGTTGATTGGATTTGGTACTATTGATTGATTGATTGTTGATTGGAGGCACTGAACTAATGTGAGATTCCAGATGATTGCAATAGATGAGTGGGCTTTGAGCAGACTAAATCAAAACAAAACTGTAAAAAGTTCCACAACTGTAAATTAGGTTCATCATTTGGCTTTTGTTTTGCTTGAAATTGCCTCATTTTGCAACAACAACAACAGTTTGAGCATTGACAGAGCTTCACAGTAGGTCATCCACTGATGCCCAAGAGGAAACCAACAGAGAATGCTGCCTGGATGTGTCTCTATCTGAAATTTTGCCTCAGGTCCTGCTGATCACTGTGTTGCAATCACCATCTAATACAGCATCTAACAACTCCATCTAACAGCAATGTCAACAATGTTTGATCATCTTCAATACTGTATTTCTACTGGATTCAAGATATCTCAGGAAAGCCAGAGTCTTAAATGTCTATAAACTCACCACGGATCTCAAGTTATTGTCCTTCATCAGCTTGAGGGAACTATAGTAGCAGGATTCAAGGTCATCTCTTTGGGACTGGCCCACATTTCCTCTGGCGATTGGGCCGACAGTGTGGATCACATCTGAAAGAAGATAAGAGACAGCAAAAAAAGCTTGTTTATATATGTACACTGACAAAAATGTAAAGATTTGTTTATATAATCCATAAAGTAAAGATGCGCCACAGTAGACAACATGAATTTCTAATTAAAACTATGACATTGTTTAACACCAAATCCCGCATGACAAACAAAAACAAAACAAAGCTTCTTGTCAGATCTTCAAAGGCACGTCGTACAAGAGAATGACAAATAGAACTGTTTCAGAACGGCAGAGGATCATGGGAACAAATGCGCACATTCCTGATTCTACTGGGTACAGAACAGCTTATTTTTTTCTGTGACGTTATCGTGCCACAAAAACAAAAGTCAGCCAACAATGACAAGATTCAACAATGGTACAATGGGGCTGATTTGAACAAGCCAAAAAAAAAAAACTGCCCGAAATCAAGTGCATTTATTCAGTTAATGAAATGGAAGAGCAGATAGAAAATCAATTACTCCATCCTTTTATCCTATCTATTCATACATTCATATCTGCTCGTAGCCGCCCTCCTGCTGCCTGTGCATAGTAATGTGCTGGTTGTCAGTCAGAGGAGAGGCTGGTCTGAGGCGAGAGGGCTGAGCAAAGCTGGCTGCTTTAATTAAATCATTGCATGGATGACAGGGGAGTTAAGGAAGCTGTGCATGAGTCTGAGCGAGAAATAATGTAGCCCTTCCTGTCTGACTCCTCTAGGCCCTAGAAGGTGGGTGGCAGTGGACGATTAATAACCCTAAACAGGTTGCTTTGCTAGGCCTGTTCAAGATGCCTTTGTGGCCCTCGCTTCGTGTAGGGCTAGGACACACCAAGCCGATGGCTGTCCTATGGGTTTCATTGGTCTACTGGTCAGCGTGGGTGTGGCTAGTTGGTTTGGTGTGTTCAACTCATTGCTCCTTGACGAATTTAAAGGTTAAACTAGTAAACGATTAAAGTCAAGAAGGAAATCAAAGAGGCTGGCTATAATTCTTATACATTTCTCAAATATTTGTAAAGGATATGGATTATTAGATTCCCAAGCATACAGTTGAAGTCAAAATTATCAGCTCTCCTGAATTATTAGTCCGCCTGTTTAATTTTCCCGAATTCTGTTTACTGGAAAGAAGATGTTTAACACATTTCTGAACACAATACAGTAGTTTTAATGACTATATGTGTGATTTCTTTCATATTTTCCATGATGACAGTATATACTATTTTACTAGATATTTTTCACGATAGTAGTATACAGCTTAAAGGCTTAACTAGGTTAACCAAGGTAGTTTGTATAGTTAGGCAAGTCTACAGTTCTTTAGAAGTAAAAATATTATAGGAAATACTGTGAAAAATTCCTTGCTTTGTTAAATATAATTTGGGAAATATTATAAAATAATAATAACAATAATAATAATAAAGGGGGCTAATAATTATATGCCAACTATATGCAGTAGGAGTAAATCCTTCCATTTTGATTACTGTGATAATGGTAATCAATGCTGTTTATTTATGCTTTATATACGCATTGGAAAATCTTTCTCAATGCCTTTCTGAATGAGAAAACAGATAGTTGGCACATCAGCTGGCTACTGTCCGTTTGGTGTGTTCACGGGCAGATTTTTGGTCCAGACGTTATTGTATTACGTTACGTTACGTTACGTTACGTTACGTTGAGTTGCGTTGCGTCATGTTAGAATCTAAGGTATCATTAACCTCTCTAAAGGAGAAAAAAGAGGACCGTTTAAGCTGTAAAAAGTGAAAGGGAAGAAAGTGAGTAAACTTGTTGTCAAAATTATTTAGTAAACCTGATGACCTAAAATCATTATCACTATGTCAAACTAACAGTTCACAGTTTACCCACTTAGAAAAAAAAAACAAAAAACAAAAAAAACTCAATTGCTTTTAAGCAATCTGTTTATTTTTTTAAAGAAAGTAAATAAACACAATTGACAGTGTATATTTAGGGTAAACCAATCCTAAACAACAAGTTGCTTGGTTTCCATAACTGGCGGAAAGAAATTGCAAAATTGATAGACTGGCATTTCAGCTATTTCACACATACTGGAATCATACTGGACCAAATGCCAGTCGTAACTGTATAATACATGTCACACCTTTTAACCAGATGCAATTTTGCCATACTGCACTGCATCAAATAAGTTTCTATCAATTTTAAACACCACATTAGCCTAGGCTTTTTTTAAAATAGTACCTGACAAGTTAATTATCTTCTGATGGAAATTACAATAAATGCTACCAGACCCCTTGTATAGCCATCCTATAATACAAACAGCACATTACAAGTATTATACAATAAACCTCCATGCGTTGTATCAGCACCTGCTAAAAAGTAAAAATGCAGAACACATATAAAGTCAAGAAAAAAAATACTTTTTTAGCCTAGAGATATAGAGCACAGTTATGAATGAGATATTTCTTGGCATGTCAAATCGGATTGAAATATTAATGTACTTGTTAAATTAAAATCTCCAATTTAAGGAGGAAGTATGGATGGATATAACAGACATAATGTCCAGATACATCTGAAAGAAACACATATATGATGTTTATTTTGTTTATTGTCTTCTGCACACAGCTCTGGCTTTTAAACACAGTTGCTGGAGTATAAGCACAGATCAGCTGTTAATGCTGTCATACGGAGTGTACTAAGAACATCATATGTATAAATTGCTCTTTTCTGTGCACATCTGTTCAGCTCAAGTCTGTGTAAAGAAAGGATCGGGAACGAGGAGCATGTTTGCATTATTCACTCAAAGATTTCTATCTTTAGTGGTTCAGCAAATGAGAGCTGGGAGTGTGAGGGGGAGCTGGAGAGCTTTTCTTATTACATAATCCTGTTCTTTATGAATAAAAGCACAGTCAATAATTGATGCATTCTTGCCAGTTTCCATCTCAATCCTGCAATGACAAGCTGCCTTTCAAGGTGTACACAGAGAGACACATTTCAGCACCTTCTCTCTCCTTTAAAATGAGGCATCTAAAGGAAGACACGATGCAGACATCAATAACACTTATGCAAATAATAAAACACAATCCTTGCCTACTGGTATATTTAAAGGCACATGCCAGTTTTATTTGCAAATGCCCTCATTTTAGATTCAACTAGACAGTTAAACAGTTTTATCATTTTTGAATTCAGAATCTCTTTTTGCTTAGCATAAATCCATTAGCATTTTGCTCTTCTGTTGTTACATCAAGTACTAAGATTGACTGAACATTAAAAGTTGCTATTTTCTATGTCATTCTGTCTAGGAGCTAGATGAAAAATTATTTATTTATTTATTTATTTATTTTTTGAGTCAGATGCTAATGGTCTAATCTGATTAAATTATTTATGCTAATCTAAGATAAAAGTGGAAGTTTTCCTTAAAAAATTGTTTCGATTACCTGCAGAAAATTCCAGTATAAAAGACACAGACTAAATTTAGGCATATCGTTTATTTTTCTTCACTCAAAACAGCAAACAGCCTGTTTTGAGGCTTACAGCACTTATATCACATAATGACAATGAGACGAGACAGTACTCGCAGTGCTGATATATAGGGTCATGGCTAGATCAGCATTGTTGTTTAAACAGCATGCTGTCCAGTGTATGTGTTTGTTTGTGTGTGTGTTCTGGCCAGTAGTGTGGCCTCTTAATGAGGCTGTGACTATATGAAATATCATCTCTCTCTATACCAGCAGGACCCAGCTAGCATGATGGGACCATAATGTAGCCTGCACTCAGTTGTTTGCTATGCATAATACATGAACCTCCGGTCCACTAGAGCAACAACCCTTCAATTAGAGGATGGAGGACCAGAACAGACCATTTATAAATTCATGAAACTAAAGCTATAGTCGTACAACATGTGCTTGATATCTACACGTGTATAAATAATCCACAAGCCATTTGTTTTCTTCATTGCTTCATTCCTTTATATATACATACACATACACACACCGGCCACTTTATGAGGTGCACCTTACTAGTACCCGGTTGGAAATCCTTTTGCCTTTAGAACTGCTTTAATCCTTTGTGGCACAGATTCAAGATGTACCAAGAATATTCCTCAGAGATTTTGGTCCAAACTGACATGATATCATGACGCAGTTGCTGTAGACTGGTCGGCTGCACATCCATGATGTGAATCTCCTGTTCCACCACATCCCAAAAAGGTGCTCTATTGGATTAAGCTCCAGTTACTGTGGAGGCCATTTGAGTACAGTGAACTCAGTGTCATGTTCAAGAAACCAGTCTGAGATGATTCGTGCTTTATGACTTGGCACCTTATCCTGCTGGAAGAAACCATCAGAAGATGGGTACACTGTGGTCATAAAGGGATGGACATGGTCAGCAACAATACTCAGGTAGGCTGTGGTGTTGACACGATGCTCAAATAGTATTAATGGGCCCAAAGTGTGCCACGAAAATATTCCCCACACCATTACACCACCAGCAGCCTAAACCGTTGATACAAGGCAGGGTGGATCCATGGTTTCATATTGTTGACACCAAGTTCTGACTCTACCATCTGAATGTCACAGCAGAAATCGAGATCCAATCTTTTTCCAATCTTTTAATGTCTAATTTTTGTGAGGCTGTGCGATTTGTAGCCTCAGTTTCCTGTTCTTAGCTTACAGGAGTGGCATCCAGTGCGGTCTTCTGCTGCTGTAGCCCATCTGCCTCACGGTTTGAAGTGTTGTGCCTTTAGTGATGCTCTTCTGCATATTGTACCTCGGTTGTAATGAGTGGTTATTTCAGTTACTGTTGCCTTTCTATCAGCTCGAACCAGTCTGACCATTCTCCTCTGACTTCTGCCATCAACAAGGCATTTTTTTTGCCCAGAGAATTACCGCTCAATGGATATTTTCTTTTTCGGACCATTCTCTGAAAACCCTAGAGATGGTTGTGCATGAAAATCCCAGTAGATCAGCAATTGCTGAAATACTCAGACCAGCCCATCTGGCACCAACAACCATGCCAAGTCACTTAAATCACCTTTCCTCC